TCCTGCCTCAGCCTCCCAAGTGCTGGGATTATAGGCGTGCACCACCACGCCTGGCCACATCCTATTTTTTTTTTTAAGGAAAAAAAAAAAAGAATCACTTTACAGCCAAAAATAAATTTGAACCTAGCTAGTATATTGGCGATTATGAGATCACCAGTGTTTTAAAAGTGGGATGATGGTATTGAGGGTAAAAGAGTTATCTTTTAAAGACACAAGCAGCTCAGCGGTAGAGCATGTACTCTGGATTCAATCCGTAGCACCAAGGAAAAAAGGACACAAATACATACGGAGATAATTATATAGTTATATGCTTAGATTTGGATTTGCTTAAAAATAACACAGGATGATACAGCAAGGGCCTAAGTTCAGTCTTAGCACTGCCAAAACAGAAAAATAAATGACATAGGAAAGAGAGAATGGACAGGGCAGGGTTGGCCATGAGCTGCTGGTTACAGATGCTGGGTACCTGGAGTTCGTCTTTTATACTTTGTGTTCAAGATTCTTTTTTTCCCCCCAGTACTGGGAATTGAACCCGGGGTCTTCACACTAAGCTGTATCTCAAGACTTATTTTTAACTATGAGATAGGTCTTGCTAAATTGTCTAGGCTGGGCTCAAACTTGCAATCCTCCTGTCTCGGCCTCCCAGAGTGCTGGGATTATAGAAATGTGCCACCAAGCAGGGCTTGTATTCAGAATTCTTGGAACTAAAAAAAAGGTATTTTTAACTAAGTGATATTTAATTCTCAGTCAGCCTGTGAAGATGCTATTATCACAGGAAAGGAGGATAACAGAATTAGGACCTGGATTCTACTCCCCTCTCTGACATACAAGCTCTAAGATTTCTGATTTCCTGTGCCTGTTTCCTTGTCAGTAAAAGGGGGAAGAGTAAAGGGTATTTGTGAGGATCCAAATTAATCTATTACAAGCAGAACTTGGTTAAATAGTTCATGGCTGACAAATTTAAGATCAGTAATACTACTCGCAAGTTGACAACTAGGGCACAGAGAAGTAACATAAGATGCTCAAAGTCACACAGCCAGAAAGAGACAAAATCAGCATTTGGTTAGTGCCCTGGACACTCAGGTGGCTCTGTCCCACATACCCCACCACAGGCTAGCCACCCACAGCCCGGCTCACCTGGCTGGTATGATCTGCACCCATGTGCAACAACATCTGGACACAGGCCAGTCTGTCTCGGGCTTGGGCGCTCAGCATCCGGGGACAGAGGCTAGGTGGGTGCATAGCAGCATTGAGAGCCAGGATGGCTGTGTGGAGGGGGGTGAGGCCTGCAGAATGGTAACCGTAAGGGATGCACAACAGTAAGGGTACTCTCCCCGTCCAGCCCCGCCTGTCACAAACAGCCCTGCTCACACTAGCTCACCTTCAAAGTCTCTGGCTTCCAGGTTGACCTGAACGCCTGCCTTAAAAACAGCCTGAGAGGAAGAGGAGGAAGAGTGCTGTGGAAAGGTCTCCCAGGACTCCTAGCCTGGAAGCTAGGATCTGAGCAACCAATCCACCCCAGACACTCCTGTTAGCTGGCCATACCGAAAGGACTCCTGGGAGCCCGTAGGTGGCAGCCACGTGCAAGACAGAACGTCCCTGATGGTCAGTGGCATTAGGCTCTGCGCCCAGGTTCAACAGATCCTCCACAATCAGCGGCTGATTGGCGGCAGCAGCCACCAGAAGAGGGGTCTGCAGGTCACAAGAAAAGTCAGTCTTGACTCCTAGGAGCTTGCCCTCTGAAAACCAGGAATCCAGGCTCCCAGCCCCCTCCACCCTCGGACTCAGGAATTCAGGACCCCATTGCCCTCGTCTCCAGGATCCAGAACTCCAGGCCCCCAATTCTCACCTTGCCCTTATGTTCACGAATGTCCAGATGTCTGTACATCTGGAGCACCTCGGCTGCAGCATAAGCTGCCCAGCGCAGTCCTCGAGCCGCCAACAGGTGCAGGAGGCTGAGGACAGGTGGGAGCAGTAGTGAGAACAGCCCCTGCTGGGCCAGGAGGTTGCAGATGCCCCCCTCCTTCCCCATATACTTACGTGTCTCCCTCCTCATCCTGGGCCAGCAGCTGTTGGGGCCCCAAAGCCAGCATGTGAGCTCGGGCTGTATCCAGAGATGGTCCTGAGCATGGAGGCAACTGTGGGGGTGCTGGGGTGAGCCCAGAAACTCTCCAGGATCCTGCCTGTTGCAGGGAAGGTTCTGCGTAGAGGCGAGTATCCAGGGGATCCTGAAGGGTACGGGTAGGGGAGACAGTCAGCTGAGAACTCCCTTCCCACACTACCACACAGCCCCTGCAGCAAGTGATCTTCAACCTTTGGGCCTTGGCTTTGCCCATCTGGGGAATGGGGTCTCACCCCAGCCCTTGACATCTTAGAATGCTGCATGAGGGCAACTGAGAACTTTTAGGGGTCTTCAGCTCCTTCTCCCTACTGGGTATCTCACCTCCATCCCCGGGGGAAATGGGCCTGGCCTTCCTGAGTCGGAGGGTGGGTAGAAATCAGAAGTCAGGAAACTTTCAGCAGCGGAAGCAGAGTAAGAGCAGGGGCTGTCTGTATAGGCAGCATGCGTGTTGGGGTCCCAGTCTGGAAAGCTCGTGGAGGGGGCCAAGCTGCCAAGTCCAGAACCCTGAGTCTCCTGCAGTGCTGAGAAGTGGGTATGGCCTGTGTGTGAGAGGAGGGGCAGGGCGGGCCTGGTTACTAGGCGCGGGGGAGTTACAGCCACAGCACCGTGCCTCCTAAAGCCCTGAAAGTTAGGACTTCTGGGACACCGAAGGCGTGGCGCCTAAAATCGTGGTACACCACGGGCACAGAAATCTAGACTACTGGGAAGCCAGGGGCCTGCGCTCCTGAAGGACTCTGCACACAGACTACTGGGCTCCAGAGAAAACAGATCCGATTTTACTGACTCCCAGGAAGAATGAGGGCCTGGTCCCCTAGGTCCCCCAAAGTCCTAGGATTTGGGATGCCTGAGAGCCTGGGGGAAGCTGGTGGGGAGCTGAGGGAAGCAGGTGAGTTCCAGACTTACCAGCCTCCGCCTCACTCACAGATGGGGTCAGGGACTGGGCCGGGGGAGGAGAGAACTGGGCCTATAGACAGAAGCAAAAAAGAACCAGGGTGAATTTCTGTATCTGGCAGATTCTCAGCATGCGGTCCCGACTCCTAGGGTATCAGAGTGAGGACTACAAACTCGTGTCAGCCCTTAGGGCCAGCAAGCCAGCGCATTCCTGCCGCACATCACATGGTCTGCATGAGCTACAGGGACCCCGGGCCTCACCGGTGCCCCTGCGGCCTCTGGCTGCTGCTGGCGACGCCTCTGTTCTTCCAGGAGCTTCTTCACGGTCTGCGTTTGGCAGTGGCTTCGCTCATTCCGGCTCACTGGGGAGGAGGAAACACAGAGTCATCCGGGGTCCTTAAGTCACCCCAGCGCACGGCGTGGATGTGGGCGCCCTCCCGCGCGGAAAAACTGGCACGCTGACGCCGCCTGAGAACTCCAAAGCCAACAGATTTCGAGCGCGTCGCCCGCCTCCGCTGTTTCCTTCCCTTTGCTCCGCACTCTCCGACCCAACTTTCCACCAGCGTCGTGGAAACTGAGGAAGCGGGAGGAGGGCAACGCTCAGCAGCAACCCCCTCCACTTCCGTAAAAATATCCCACCCCTTGTTCACTCAATCCTGAGGTCTGGGACGGCTGTGGGGCGCCGACATCGCTGCCTCAGAGACGCACACCCAGGTCCCCAGTAGCTCTCTGCTCTAAAAGTTGGCCGCTTGCTACTCTCTCCCGAGGAAAGCAGGAGTCCGAGCTCCCCAAGCCTCTCCCCGAAGAGCCGCCAGCGCACAGCCCCCTAACTCTTCGGGGATCCGGAGGTCTAGACCTCCTACCCCGCTCCCCGGGAGCTCTGCAGACTCAGCGGTCCAGAGCGCACCTCGCAGACGAAGCGCTCCCAGAGCCCAGCATTCGCTTCTCCCCAACTCAGGGAGCCCACACCCGCCGCGCTCAGCGTGGCAGGCCGGGTTCCGGCGGAGCACGGGTTAAGCAGCGGAAGTCGACTCGGAAACCGCAGGACGCGACGCGCTGACGTCACGGCGCTACGCAAGGGAATCTTCCACCGCCCCCCCGCCCCCCGCGGCCTTCCCCGCCCCCAGCCGCCGCGCGGCAGGTGTCCTTCGCCAGGCTGGTGCGTGGCCGAGCGTGGCGCTCGCGGGGATTCCGCGCTCGGGGAATTCCTGCTCAGCGTGGGGGCCTGGAGGCTTGGCGCTCGGGGAAATCCCGGGGTTGGGGCAGGGTCGCGGCCGGCGTGGACCCAAGCGGTCAGGCACCCGCCCTAATCCCTCGAGACGCACGGTCGAAGTTGAACAACCACGCCCCCACGCCCCAGTCCAGCCCCTCCTCCAGGGGGAAGGAGGCCCGGACTCCCCCTCCCGCTGGACCCAGGGGTCCGCCCGCACCAGGCTGTACACCCTCAGGCCCAGGATTCGGGATCCACCGTCCCCGACGACCCCAGGACTCGGGAGTCCAGGTTCCCACCGCTCCTCTGTCCCGATCCACCTGCAGACAACCGGCACTCACACAGCGCCCAGGATCTGGTGCTCCAGTTCTGTCCCCTCAAAACTCCAACCCCAGCCTCTCTATTTATGTTAGGGATAGAACCCAGGACTTTGCACTGAGCCACCTCTGCAGACCTTTTATAGTTTGAGACACAGTCTCGCTAAATAGCCCCATTGACCAGGCTGGGCTCAAATTTGCGACCCTCCTGCTTCAGCCTCCCAAGCCCCTGCGCCCGGCTTGCCTCACTCTTAACCCCCATCCGTTACCTCGGGGATTCCGTGGCGCGGATTGCGGGCCCCCAGGGCCTCGGCCTCTGCGCTGCGCCAGCCTAGCTGTTTCCCCGCGGAACCGCCGCCGCGTCCCGGATCTTGGGTCCGGTCTCCCGCGAGGTTTTAAATTGGGGTTCTCGCACCGCCCAGTCTCGGGCGGGGCCCCGCCCACAGGCCTGGGAGTCCCCGCGTCACGCTCTGGCAAATTCATTTTCTGAATGGGCGGGGCTGACTTGGAGGATTCGACTCCCGAGCACCCTCTCCCCCGCAAAGGAGGAGCTGGGGAGTCCCGGTGCCTGATATGAAGGAGCCGAGGGCACCCGACTCTGGGACTAGGGGAATACTGGGAGCCTGGACTCTTGAGTCTCTGTCCAAGCAGATGTTAGAGGCTTTGACTCCTGGACCCTAGGCTGAGGGCAGGCAGAACAGTATTACTGAGTCCTGGGAGAGGAGTCGGGGGTTCTCTCCCACATTGCCTCCGCAGTCAGGTTTCATGTATTCATCATCGTTTAAAATATTTCGTTACCGTTCGTAGGTGGTGGCACATGCCTGTAATCTCAGTCGGTGCTCTGGGAGGCTGAGGCAAGAGGACTGCAAGTTGAAGCCCAGTAGTCACCTTGGGGACTTAGCCAGACTATCTCAAAATTAAAAGAAAAAAAGAAAAAGAAAAAGTTACCATAGGGCAGGCGCTTTGCTGGCTGCTATGGTAGAAACCTGTGAACAAAACCTGCCAGCGGGAATTCCCAGCCCTCAAGCTGACTGACATTCCTATGGAAGGTGGCGCTCGGTTCCCCCTCGGTGTCCAAACTTCACCCTTGCTTTCAAGGCTGTGCCTTCCTGGGTCTCCTCCCTCCCTGCATACTCTTCCCCAGTTTCTCTGGCTGATTCCTCCATTCTTTCACCCTACATGTGCGCGTGTGGAAAAGGAGGAGAGGTTCTCTGTACAAACTTCCTCAGTGATCTCATCCAGTCTCAGGGTTTTATTTTATTTTATTATTTTTTGTTTTTGTTTTAAGACTGGGTCTCACTATGTAATGCAGGCTGACCTCGAACTGAGGCTGAGGCAGGAGGCAGCCTCTTGAGTGCTGGGATTATAGGAGTGTGCCACCATGCCAGGCAAATCTCAAGAGTTTTAGATACCATCCTTAAACCATCCACCCTCGAATTTTCATTTCTAGACCAGATTTATCCCCTGAACAGATAAAAGAGCTGAGGCATAATACCAGCACTCTGGAAGGCTGGTGCTGGAGAGTCATATGCTCCAGCCCAGTCTAGGCAATTTATCAACTTGGGGAGACTGTGTCTCAAATAAATAAATAAATGGAGCCGGGCATGTAACTCAGTGTGTGTGTGTGTGTGTGTGTGTGTGTGTGACAGAGAGAGAGAGAGAGAGAGAGAGAGACAGACAGACAGACAGACAGACAGAGACAGAGAGGGAGAGAGAGAGAGAGAGGAAAGAGACTGAGAGAGATTGAGTGCTGTAGGCTTTCAGCAGCTCCACAGGGAGCTGTGTCAGGCATTTTCAGCTCTGAGTGCCCAGTCCTCAGCACTTCCCTTCACACCAGCTTCCCTCATCCTCTGTCAGTCTGCTCCATCTTTTCCCCTGCTCCCTCCGGAAGCCAGGTCACACTGGATCCCTCTCCTACACCCACATCCGCTTCATCAGCAAATGTCCTTGGCTCTACCTCCAAACTATTTTGACCACACCCTGTCCACCTGCCACACCTCTCACACCTACCTGGACAACCACAGCAGCCCCTGGAGCGCTCTGACCCTTCCCCAATTGCTCCCAAAGGCAGTCACAGGGACACGGCCCACCCTCAAACACATGCACAGGAAACAGGTGGCCTTGCAGGGTGTCATCCGCTATTGCCACCTCTGTGCTCCCCCGCTTTTCCTTGGGACTTCTCTGGACCACAGTCCTGAGCCGGGGCCCTTGGTTCCCAGCCCACTCTGGCCCTGGCAGGGAATCCTCCTCCTGTTCCTGCTCTCAGGTGGTCAGCAGTTACTGGGGGTGGCAGGAAGGGTGACATCTGAAGGCATAGGTGCGGCGAGTACCCTTTGCTCTGTCTCTTCCCTTCCTGGAGATCCACTGGATCTTAGGGCCAAGGCCCTTGGTGGAGGATATGTGGGTGGGACATTCTGGAGCCTCCAATCTCCCCTCATGTCCTATTAATCTGCCTGGGTCACTGCTTCTACTTCCCACTTTCTTTCCTTTTGGGGAGTCAGGGAGTATTGCACATCAAACCCAGGGCCTTTGCACTGAGCTGCATTTCCGGCCCTTTTTAAAAATAAACTTATTTGAGACAAAGTCTCACTAGATCACTAAATTGCCCAGACTAGGCTCAAACTTGGATCCCCCTGGCTCAGCCTCCCTGAGTGCTGGGATTACCCTCTGCTTCCCACTTTCTGTCCCTGTCTGTGTCCCTGGGAGCTCCCCTTTCCATTTGGCCCACCTCTCTCATTCACCTGTCCAGAGATCTTATTTCTCAGGATATCCCCTTCCCTGCTTTCAGGACTGTTACCCCTTGTCCGCTTTCCCTTTCCACAGTGGTTGCATCTCAGATGCCCCCAGGTGAGAGATCATTCCCTGCCTTTGGCACCCAGGTACCACTTCCACCCCGAAAGGAGAGGGCCTCAGGTTCCTCCGCAGTCCCAGTGACTGTCCAGTCTCCAAATTCGAGCCCCGCGAAGATCTGCAACTCTTTGCAGGGCCCGCCTTGCCCTATTCATTACCAAACAGAACCCCATGGACTCAGTGACCGCTGTCTTTCTCTGGCAGTAGCCCATGTGCCCAAGGCACCGCCCCTCGGGCCTTGGGACACCTCAGCCCCCCTGGATCTCAACCTCTCATTTTATTCTCCAAGCATAGCCCCAGCGTTTGGGATCCACTTCGGTCCCGGGGGTCTGCCTCTTCTCCCTATGCCCAAAAGAGCAGCTGGAGACCCAGAGCCCTCTCAGCCATCTTTCTGCCTGGGCCCCACCCTCCAGGTTCCTGCTCCGGATGTGGGCCACTCTCCCAGCAACTCCCGGCCGGTCTCGTGGCTGCAGCTGCGGTCAGGTCGCTGCTGGTCGTGGGCGTGGTCTCCACTTGTGCGCGTCCCAGCCTCCGCCGCAGCCCCTCCCCCCCCGACGGTGACGGCAGAGACTGGGTGTGGCCTGCAGGGAGGGTGGTGTCCCTCGGGAGGGTGTCCCGTGGAGGGGGCTCCCAGGGAAGCCCTAGAGGAGCTGCTGGGGAAACCCTGGGGGAGGTGCTCCGGGGAACCCCTGAGGAAACCCCGGAGGCAGGGGGTCCCCGGGAAGGTGAAGAAGTGGGGAGCGTGGTGGGTGGTCAGGCTTCACGATTTTCACCGCCACAGCCCCAGAAGACAGCAGCGTGTACATCAACATGCCCCACAGGGGCTGACCTCTGCACCTTCGACCCTTGACTTCTGACCTTTTCATCCTGAACTCTGAGTGGCAGCATAGAAAGACGCACGCACGTGCACATGCACACGGTCCTCCCTTCTGGATTGAAATAAAGCAATTAAAATTCTCTAGTTTTATTCTAATTCAGAGAACTTCAGGGTTCTCAAAGCCTTCCTCCCGTTTAGCTGTTTCTAGACCAAAGATCCCTCGGGACCCCGCATAGCCCCAGTTCCTCAGCCCAGGGATCAGACATAACAGTGTTTTGCTTCTGTGCTCCATTGTTTATTTGGGGACAATACGGAGGAGAGGTCTGGTAGCTCAGGGAGGGCACTCTGGATCTGCATCCCGGTAGGAGTATAAATGATGGGCTTTGTGGGCATCAGAAATGGATGGATCCAGGCATCAGGTTGTTGACAGATGTAATTTGGACTCATTTGTAATACGGCTGCCGCTGTGTGTTGAGGTCGCTGTAGACATCTGACCTGGTACCTTGGAGCTCCTAAAGGGATGGAGATGATCAGTGAAAGGGGCCCAATAAATAAACTTAAAATAAAACCCAGCCTTCTTCTAATGGCCTGCAAACTTCTTCATCCTCACAGGATGAAGGGTGAAGAGCTCTGGATTTTAGTGAAGTACATTCTGTGTTCCCCTTTCCCCTCTGCCTCAAGGGCCTCAATTGTGCTCTAGCCTCAGGGCCTTTGCACAGGCTATTGTTTTCCTAGAATATGGGTTCCTTACATCTTTAATCTCGTCCCCCTTCAAGCCCTGTAACATTTTCACAGGGCATTTCTCACTTTTCCCCCTCTATATTGCCCCTTCTGATCACTATCATATTAGCCTGCTTTATTTCCTTCATGGTGGCTTCCCCAAAATGATTTTGTTAATTTGCTCCAAATCTGTCTCCCCCCAACTAGGCTGTAATCTCTGTTGCTGTGGCCCTAGCATGTGGCACATAAAGGTGCTCAACAAATACTGAAGGGCTGAATAAATCGGGGTAACACCTCACCCTAAAGTTTCCCCACTCTCAATAGCTTGGACACCCCCTCAGTCTTCTGGATCTCACCAAGCCAAAATCAAGATGTCTAATACTTTGCAAAGAAACTTTTTATCCACAAGTCAGGCAAATCTGAAAAGCTGGTTGCAGACAATAAATTAGACTTCAGGATTCACACACAGGGAGCAGGGTAGGCCCTATGGAAGCAAGGGGCAGGCCTCAGGCGGAACCTGTGAATCATATATGAATGTCCAGTTGGGGCGTGCCTTACTCTGGGAAAGGATCTCAGAGGATCTTGTGACCCCCTAAAGGAGGAGCTGGGATGGAGAGGGAGGGCTGGGACAACGTCAGACCACATCATGATTTGTGTGTGTGTGTGTGTGTGTGTGTGTGTGTGTGTGGTGCTGGGGCTGGGCCCCAGGGCATTGTTCTCGCCAGGGAAATGCTCTACCACTGAGCCAAGTCTCAAGGCCACACATTATGATTTTTATTTTTTTTTA